GGGGGGGGGTCAAGGTGTTGAAATATTCGTACCGTGACCCTGAGATCTGTATGGGCGACCATAGGGAAAATTAATTATTTCGAAGGTTATGATTTTCATAGACAAACAAACATAATACACTTCTGATCTAGTTGAGAGGTCTGGTTATCGTGGAGTCTGTACTATAAAGTATCACGGCGTGGTATCATACCTGGAGTTGAATTGTGATCGGTTGAGGTGGACATGGCGTTGTCACGCGGTTGCGAAAATGGTAGCATGTGGGATGAAAAGGGTGAGCGAGGATGACATTAGCAAGGGCAACGGTCCATAGATCCAGTGCCTGACAACAGAGCCCGGAAGTTCGTAGCAGCTAGGAACGGTGTTGTAATCATAATGTAACGATCCCCTTTCAGATAGTTAGTTCTTGGCGATGGGAAACGATACTTATCTTTTCTTTCCCTTTCTTTCCTTGTCTTACGATAGCTCTAGGCCTCTGCCTATGTTACCGATAGTACAAGACCTTTGTCTTCTATCGGAAACACCTATCGTAAGCTTTCTCTAACTCATCTTCATAACGAGTACTTCTTGGCGTAATGATAATGTTGCAATAAGGATAAAGATCGTAAAGGTGTTTTATATTCGTTAAAGTAATATGTAGGAAAAGTACTTAGAACAAAGCGTGAAGAACCTATCTTCCTCGGCCGCATCGGCCTCCTTATATAGTGTTCTTCCCGCCTTTAATCATGTGACCTAAAGTGGTCACATGTGTAAAACCAAATCAAAACAAACTAGTCATGTGACCAAAGTGATTACATGCTCAAAATCCATGACCTTATAGCAAGGTCACATGCGAAACTCATAAACCAATCATAACACAATAAACAAGTCATATGACTCGACTGAGTCATATGCACGAAACCCATGACATCATAATGAGGTCATGTGCGAAACATAAATCATCTGCGCAAGGCTTGCCCGTAAGGCACACTCGTAAGGCATACTCGTCAGGCGCATGTCCCATGACTCATACTTGAGTCATGTGCGAAAACATCACAAATCCCACACATAACTAATCATATAACCCGAATAGGTTATATGTGTGAAACAATAACATACCTGTGACTCATAACCATGTGTCACGTGAAAACCCTTTCCTCGCTAAGCCACGTTCGTGACACATAACCCCATAATGTAAGGTTAGTGTCTAGGCCTATGAAGCTCTAAAGTTCAGCACTGGGAAGAGGATCATGAGGGCTAGATGGTATTTTGACCCCAAACCTCGTGTCCAAAAAAGAAGGCAAAAGGTAGAGGGAAGAAAATAGTGGATGAGGAGCTTGCCTGCCCTCCTGGCCCAACAGTCATGTACTAGTATCATACATATGAAACTACTAACAAAAGAGACCCCTTCCTATACCTCGTCTTGTCCCAGTACAAGAGAAATCCCACAAGTCACTTGAAAAGAAACTTATTCCTACTCCTGACCTGATAGTCATGTACATATAAAGCTACTTGTACTAACAAAAGAAACCCCTGGTTCCACCTTCCCCTGCCCCTGCCCCCCCACTCAGTACACAGGAAATCTGTTCAACAAAAGGAACACACTCCTGCCACCTCAATCTGATAGTAGAAGCGTACAAAATTGATATTTGTTCTGTATAATGCAGAGTTTTCCAGGCTGACTGTTACAGTGTTATTCTTCCCTAAGTGCAGCTGAGTTGGAGGTGGGTGTAGGAGTAGTATTATTTATTGCATTGTATTCTTTCTTTCATCTACTTTAAGTATATGATTCTCTTTACTCTTATTGTTTTTCTAGCATTTCAATCATAGATTATCACTCATATTCAATTCTTGAACATCTTGCCAAAACTTTCCGCCGGCCAACCCGGAAGTCATTCTATTGACTGACAAATTTTCAAACCCGAATCCCTTCCTCAGGAGTTTTTTTTTTTTTTTTCTTCAATAATTTCCTCTGGTAAATTTCTTTATTAGACACTATTAAATTTTAATATAGCTACCAGACAGATTGCCTATGTCTTAACCTACAGTTGTGTTGTGGTTGATTGCGGTGTGCCCTGTTTGGTGATATGGGTGGGCAGGTTTTGATTGTCCGGCACCGTACAGGCCAAAGTGCTGCTGCCTTGTCACTACTGTATTTTACTTGTAAGTATTGGCAATCCACCACCAAACATCACGACGCAAACTCAGAATTGCATCAGTATACTGTACATGCCCTGCGCAGGAAGCTGGAAATTACCCCCTTCCCCCCCTTCCTCCTCTTCAACATCCCTGGGGCAAAATTTGCGCTACACATTGCACCACCACACCAAGGCTACAAATGCCTTCCTCCACCTTTCAGTCTTTCTTTTTAGGACTCGACAGTAGCGTAGCGGGCAAGAGGGGGGGATCCTACGTAAATTTTCGCCGCGATGTTCTCGTATATGTTATACGGTATTCGTGTCCGTGTCCTCCGATCGCTAATTCGCAAAGAATCCAGAAATGGATGCGCCAAAATCCCAGGTTTTGGGTGTAAACCACCAATCCCTGGCTTTTTTTTTAATGTCCTGACACCTTACAAATTGACGGGTACCGGGGATGGTTGATAGATCAGTAGATAGAGGATCATGAGGTATCACTAGGGGGGGTATGTGCTGTGTATTAATGTAAGTTTTGCTTAAGTGGTATGGTAGAGAAACTGCTATCATACGGCGACTGCTATTAATGGTAATAGTACCCCTCCCGCACCGTTTTCTGTCATCAAGCGGTTGCACCCTCAGCGAGATCGCACCCTCAGCGAGACTCTTTCCTTTAGAGGCAACTTTCTCACAGCAATTAGCAGTTTATTAGTAAGGAACCTCGCTGTGGGTGCAATCTCGCTGAGGGTGCAACTACTTTACTGTACTAGAGTAGATTGTCACACGAGGTGTAATACCTGAAAAAGCAAGATCTTAGAGCATCCCGGTTTGGTATGATACTGTAACAAAGCGGGAACCACAGCAGCACAGCGCCATCACTGACGGCCACCCCACCCCTACAAGGACCATCCACCTATTAGCCCCCCCCATACTTGTGCTCAAACACAACCCAATCAAATGTGAAAAAAGTAGTAATTTGTTTGTCCGTAGTATTGCGGCACTGAAGCCCAACCCAAGTACTACCCTTCTTCAGTTTTTTTCCCAAGCCAACAAACCCAATTGCGTTAAACCCCCCATCCCCATCCACCCTAGAAGAACCCCCAGCCTGCTAAAAATCAGACCCCGGAAGAAAAGAAGAATAAAAATGATCCGCCCAACGCGAGCGAAACTACAGCCCCAATCTGGCACCAAAATAATTCTCCCTGACTTGCCATACCCCTGTTTTTCTCAGATCGTACAAACCCCCACCCAATCAATCCTGCAAACATTCCCTAACCCTAAAAGAAACAAGAGGAGGAGGAAGGAGGGCAATCAGAGTTTTGCGGCACCACCCACCGTTACAATCTCGTTATACAGCAGAGTAGTAAGGAAATCCGCATAGTCCTCCCCGGTGATCTGGGTCGCAAAGTAGCGTGCCGCAAGGTGGTACTTGTTCCCAGCGGGCGCTTTGCTGGCGAGTTTTTCTGTGGTCTCCTTGAGGAGCTGGAGGTTCAGTTCTTTGGTGACCCTCTTGCCTTCGATGGTGCTCACACCGTGTTTGGCCCACTGCCAGAGCTGTGGGATGCGTTAGTTGGCTTATGGCCCAAGGGAAAGCGGAGAGGGGGGGTTGTGAGTGTATACTTGAGAACGGGAGACTTCGGCGGTGGCGGCGTCCTCCATTAGGTAGTTTATTGGCACACAACCGACGGCGCGAAGCCAGCCTTCCATATATCCGATGCCGATTTCTAGGTTCTTGCGGATTCCCTCCTCTGTGACTGCGCCTGGCATGTTCATGTTGAGAAGGTCCATTGCTGTTACAGAGACTTCCTCCCTGCGCTTGAAAATTTGGTTGGGGGTTGGCATGTGCTTATTGAAGACTTCAGATGCGATCTTTGCGAGGGCGGGGTGAGCGACCCTATTTACTCTATGGGTTAGTACCTGACCTGTAAACTTAGGTGCATTATATAGCTATTTTTGATACGAGTGGTATCTCTTTGCTATATAATTACGTCAGATCACTCGGGATATTCAAGCATACCAAGTTCCACTGTAAAGCCCGTTAGTGAGTTTCTCCAGGAGACTCAGGCGGAGGGAACATACTCATGACCGGCCCTGACCTCTCGTAGCTTATCGGCATAGACACCAGCCATAGCCTTCTTATTGGCCTCTTCATTATCCTTGATAGGAATCTGTGCAGCCATTCCTCCCATAGCATGAACACCTCTGCGGTGACATGTCTTAATCAACAACTTGACATACGCCTCCATAAATGGCACAGTCATGGTAACAGCGCTTCTGTCCGGGAGCACGAATTGTGGGTTATTCCTGAACTTCTTGACTCGTAGATGTAATCCCAACGACCGCAGTTGAGACCGGAGCTGTGCTGCCGCAATTCATAGATGATCTATCATCTAATCAGCAATTGTTCACAATCTTTACAGAAAATCACTCAACCCACCTCGTCCATCTCGAAAACAGCCAGGATAGTCTCGATCAATACCGTAGCACGAATGGTGCCCCTTGGGATTCCAACGGTATCCTGAGAAAGATTGAATACATCGTTCCATAATCTGGCCTCCAGATGCGATTCCATCTTTGGCAGGTAGAAGTACGGCCCGTGGCCGTTCTGGATCAACTGCTTAGCATTGTGAAAAAAGTAACACCCAAAGTCGAAGAGAGCGCCAGAGATTGGCTCGCCATCGACGACAAAGTGCTTCTCGTCAAGATGCCAGCCACGAGGACTAAGACCCGTTAATAATATTCACCAGAGCAATGGTGCGGGAGACAGTGGGAACATACCGAATAATCAGGGTTGGCAAAGGACGGTCAGTGCGGAGCTTGTAATCCTTCCCGTTGAGCTTAAAGTCAACCTGCCGGCGGATAGCGTCGTACAAGTTGATTTGCCCGTTAATCACGTTATCCCAGGTTGGCGAGTTAGAGTCTATGACGCAGATGTTAGCAGCGTGCCACAATTGTTCCACCACTAGTTACCGGGTCGCTCCCTCCTCTCCTCCCTCTAAATTACAGACTCCATACCTTCAAAATCCGCCATATAAGTCCAAACATCGGCATTCAAAGCATTAACAACCATCTTCCTATCAATGGGCCCGGTAATCTCCACCCTGCGATCCACCAGGCCGGGCGCAGGATCAGCTCCACGCCATGTATCATTGTCACGAATGTGCTTGGTCTCCGGCAGGAAGTCGGGGAGGACACCCTTGTCAATCTCGGCTTGACGGAGCACACGTCTGTGGAGGAGCTGCTTCCGGGTAGCATTGAACGTTCTATGAAGGGTAGCTAGGAATGCACAGCATTCTTTCGTAAGGATCTTGCGGTGAGGGTCTTGCACATGGCCAAGAATTTGAGTGTCCTTGATGAGGTCTTCGGTGTCAGCCATGCTTGCTCCTATGTTTGTGTAAGGTAGGCTTGTTGTGATTTTTGTGAGGAAGGTTTACGAAACTAAAACAACTGCTCCACCCATCGAAGGAATTATAGAGCACGTCACGAGGTGGGGGGAGAAAAGAGCAGTCGGATGGGAGGATAGGGGAAGCTTGTGATAGAGGATGGAAGGGGGTGATATCCTTATCACTGACGGGCTTGGGAAATTGGACTGATGTACCTCTGACACATGATAGACAACCGGTGGAAGTATTCCTTAGCAAGCTTCCTTCCATCTCATCCACCCCACCCCACAACTGCCCCTCTACCTCGGACAATTCACATCCCTAGCTCCGAGGGTATTCAACTAAAAAATCTATCATACATCTGTTAAACCCTTTAAGCCCTCTCATAATTTCATTTCCCTAAATTTCTCATACGAGCAGATCATACTCGAGTAACGCTTCAAAGTCTGCAGACTACTCGAGTAGACAAACATGCCCAGGCACCAAGAGCCCAACAACAAGAGGAACAACGACCTCTGACGTTTTCAGCATCGAACAAGCAGCCTAGATATTATATCGGCATAGACTATGCACTGCTGCCAATTAACAACAACCCACCAAACAACCCACAATCCACCATCACTGGACCTCGGCTTTGATCTCTCAGTCCACACACACGGTTTCTTCCGAGCCCAAATTGATCCACCTGGAAGAAAGAAATGAGGATAGTCTAAATCCTCGCCGGAAGGAGCGGTATTTGGGACCATGATAGCCCGCGGGGAGGGTGAATGTCGCTCTGCTTTCCCCTTGGGTGGAAAGAAAAAAGCACCGGCACAGTATGGAGCAATGTTCCTAAGACTAGGTCCACAACCATATATAAATTTAAAATTCGGCAATGAAATAAGCCCTTCAAAACAATGAGTCACGATACTGTAACGTAGGGACTGGAATAATTGAGAATTTCGCTATGACGTTGAAGTTGCCCCTCCTAGTAAGGTCTGTTATATTTTTCTTTTTATCTCTCTCGACGAGGGCTGTGTTTTCCCCCCCTAATCCAGAGGGGGGAATTTTGGACGTCCTAGTGGTACTAGAGTGGAGAGAGTGTGCCCCCGTGCATGAAGGAAAGATACGAGTAGAAAAGTCTGAAGACTGAAGACTTGGCAGCCATAACCCGAGGCAATGCCGGAGAAAGCAAAACTTTCTTCCCTCAAATATCATATTTGCCAAGATTTCCAACTTCCAACTTTCTCTCCTGCATGGGGCGCCGCCACTCCCGTGGTAAAGTTAATGCAAGAAAGCTATTACTCGTGCGTCTCAGCCAAGAGTTGGCACCACATTTGTCCTAGTCAGTGGCACAAGTTCATTTTCACTGAACGGGTATAGTAGCTGATGACTAGGATCGAGGTCTAACTATGTGAGGAATTAAAGATGAACTTTACTGATGCTGGTATATATATAGGACAAGTGGTAAGTAAATCTAAGCATTAAACTTATTGTCTCCATGCCAGGCACGAACTTGTAAGAGGTTTAGATGAAAGTTCATACAAAACCGGTCCACCAACTCCTGGGGCATCTTATCCCACTCATATCTAAGTGCCTTGATTACCTCCTATTTTGTCTGTTCACCTGTTTCAGTAAATCTATATGCCATCATCCTATCCTTTAAGTAATTCCAACACAGCTCAATTTTGTTCAGATCAGATGAGCTTGGCAGCCAGCTTGGAATTCGATGAATACCCTGTGCTGCAGCCTCTGCTTGGTCTAACTTTGCTGCTAGTGTATGGTTTCCAGCATTATCCTCAACTAACCAACAGTGTCTCCTAGTTTCTGCTTGAATGTGTTCGACAAATGGATAAACGTGTGCATGAAGAATTTCCTTTTGATAAAGGAACCAATCTAACCCTCCTCTAACACTTCTTCCATATATTTTCTCCCTAAACTTCTAATATGGACGGCGTAGCATGCCGCGTGGCTCATTTAGTCCTCGATTAGCATTATACTGAGTGTCACGAATGTGGCTTGGCGAGGAAATGGTTTTCATGTAACACATGGTTATAAGTCACAGGTATGTTATTGTTTCACATATATGACTCATTCGAGTCAAATGATTTGTTATATGTGGGATTTGTAATGCTTTCGCATATAGCTCAAATATGAGTCATGGGATGTGCGCCTGATGAGTATGCCTTACAAGTGTGCCTTGCGGGTATGCCTTGCGCATATGATTTATGTTTTGCACATGACCTCATTATGAGGTCATGGGTTTCACGCATATGACTCAGTCGAGTCATATGATTTGTTTATTGTGTTATGATTGGTTTATGAGTTTTTGCACATGACCTTGCTATGAGGCCATGAGTTTTGAGCATGTGACTATCTTGGTCACATGACTAGTTTGTTATGATTTGGTTTCGCACATGTGACCACTTTGGATCACATGACTACAGGTAGGAAGAACACTATATAAGGAGGCCAATGCGGCCGAGGAGGATAGGTTCTTCACGCTTTGTTCTAAGTACTTTTCCTACTTCTTGCACTCCGTATCGGAAGTGAGCATAACCAATACTTTACCTTATTACGCTCGCGACAAATACTTCATCTACTGTTACTTGTTTGTGTTTTTCGTTTCGGGCGGTCAGTTAGAAGTTGTTGTTCTCGCTTAGAAGATACTTCAGTGTGAGATATCCGTGGCCTGGTCCCGGTAATCACTGAGTGTATTTTGGGCGAGGACAGTGTCTTCGACAGCCTCCTCCTCCACGGATTCTCCCCCCCCTTCGAGGATGTCGTCCCCCGTTCGGTTCGACTCCAACCCCTCCTCCTCGTTTGAGACAGCCCGTGCGGCCCTGTCTCTTGCGCCTGCTACTGAGGCTGGCCGTGGCCTCATCCCTACCACCACACGGTCTTATGTTGCACCCAAAGGAAACTTTAAGTTTTTACAGTTCCAACATTGCCACAGGTGTCAGAACGCGGTGAACCCGCAGTTTAATGATTTGGTCCAGCAAACGGTCGCTGACGCGACCGTTGCCACGATGAAAGAAGTGGAGGTTTTGGTGAGCGGTTTCCTGATCAGGAGAGGCTGTTCAGTCACGTGTGGCTTGAGCAAAGACACTACCACAGGGCTCTTCGTTCGGTTCAACTCAGACCGTGGCTCAGAATACTCTCCGGCCCCCGCACCTTCCCCTCCCAAAGATTCTCAGGCTGTAGTCCCTGAATCCTCCTTTCCCCCCGCCAAGGACAACTCGACTGCCACCATGGTTGAGGCCAGCTCTTGGTCCGCTACTCCTCCCCTCGCTAGGGCTGTCCAGAGCAAGATGCCCAGCTTCTTCCGCCAGGCCCACAATATCGGGACCGGCTCCTCGACTCCATCCTTTTTGGCAGGAATGTCTTCAGGCGAAAGGGCTCTTTACAAAACCCCGAAGTTCAAGCTGGACGCCTGGCCATCCCTCCACCTGTGGTGCTCCCATCGCCAATCGAGGCTACACCCCTCTCTTTGTCGCCACTGATGACTGAGGATGTCCTACCCACCTCTGAGACGCTGGCTAGGGACACCCCTATGGAGCTGGATGACGGGCGCAACTCGGAAGTGACTGGTTTGGGCGACAGCTTACATGCCCCTTCACCAGCCATGGGTTCGTCACCTCCACCTATTACTGGATGATGGGTGTCACCTCCCGGAGGCCAACTAGAGGGTTCCTCAGAAGCCCCTAGTGGAGGTTCAACTCCGCTGGAAGTTCTACTCCCAGAAACCCAACCAGAGGACGCCGACGCTGTGGTAGCCCAGGCGGACTCAATTATGGCAGGTGTCTGTGAGATGCTGGACGCTGGTAGGACCCCCTCTTCTGGACCCCGCTCAGGTAGTATAATCGGATCCATGTTGGAAGGTCTGGAGGACATCCGGTCTGGTAATACTCAGCCTCTCCTTTCCTCAGAGTGTGGGTCGATTGAAGACGACACAGTACAGGACGTACAAACTTGGATGAACAGTGGACCCACCTTTGACAATGAAGGTCCAAGGAACTGGATAAACTACTGGAGCCGAGTTCATGTTTTGGAACGGGCAGTAAAAGCACTGACCGACATTGTTCGTAGGCAAGGGGAGGAAATTGAAGCCCTTCAGGTGAGGTTATCGCCGCGCCACCGCTCCTCACGAGCTGTACCTCACAATACCTCCGATGTTTCGTCGGAGCTTACCCTACCATCCGCTACTCCTGAGAAAAAGGAGGCCTCTAAGGAGGCTCCTACTGCTAAGGCCTCCTTTACAGAGGTAGTAAAACGAATGACATACGTGCCCAAGCCCCCCGCTGGCCCACAGGAACGGGTATGTCCTGCCAGGCCTGTATCAGCAGCCTCATCACACCAGTCCAGCAGCAGTGGCAGCTCCTCTAGTGAAGGGGGGGTAGTCTTGCGGGTAGACCGAGGAGGTGAAGGCAAGTCGGTTCACTGGGAAGAAGAGGAAGGGGTGGAGGAAGATGAAAAGAAAAAACGGAGGAAGCGTGGCAAACACCTGAGTGGTGGTGTCAGGAGGAGAAGAAAGGCTGCCAGAGAGGCTGGTGAAGAAAAAGAAGCGGCGATCCCGGCCAAGACTCAGGGGAAGGCTGATAAACAGGAATCGGCTCCGAAGGTTACGGTACCTGCTACTACGGCAGCCCAATCCGGACCAGCTGCCCTGGCCAGCGTCAAGGTAGGCGCGACTCAGACACGGCAGGAATACAGACAGGTACCAATGGGACCCCCAGACCCACTAAACTTGGTACCGCCGCCGCCGCGCTCATCGCCAACCCCGAATGCTAGAGGAAGGCACATCGCCATACGCTTCACTACTCGAAAGAAGGTTGCCCTGCCAGAGGGTGTCGATATTGAGGCAATCCGAAATCGGATTAATGTGAACTTTTCCAATCAGGGAATGATTCGAGGAAATGCTCCTTATATTCGCGCAGGGCATGTCCGGCCGGAAATTGGATTTATTTTCCTGACCTTGATGGCATACTCGGTGACAGAGCTAGGTAACAGGTTGGACAAGGCCAGGCTCGATCTGCTTAGGGAATTGTCACTTCCAGAATTTGAATTCCAGAGGAATCTGGAAAAGGTGAAGATCTTTGTTTCTGGTGTTCCGCTTGCTAACACAGGATGGGAATGGATTTGGAAGGTGGAAGGATGGACTGGAAGCGCGGCTTTTG